CCCGCCCCGCCGGACTGTCGCCCAATACTTTTGCGGTCAGCGGCTAGCCCACACGTGACGCCCCGGGGGCGGCCGGCCGGCCGGCCGGGGTACAGGGAAGTCTCGGCGGCCACAGCGGGCACCTCGGCGCGGCCCCAGCGGTGGTGGTCCGCGGCCTGCGCTTTACTTCCCCGAAAGAGCCCGGCCGAGTCACACGGGGCGTTTTCCGTAAATCAATCAGCAGTTCGGGACCTCCGCAGCTGCAGTTCGGACCCCTACAGCTGCACCGCGCGACCGCCAGCCCAGCCTGCTGCGCCCAGGGCGTGCCCCGAGGTAGTCGTGGTGGTTGTGCGGAGCAGCTGGTTGATGAGGGGAGGGGTCACCGCTCAGCAGTTCGGACCTCCACAGCTGCAGTTCGGACCCCTGCAGCTGCAGTTCGGACCCCTGCAGCTGCACCGCGCGACCGCCAGCCCAGCCTGCCGCGCCCAGGGTGTGCCCCGAGTTGGTCGCGGTGTTGGTGGTGCGGGGCAGCTGGTCGATGAGGGGTCACCGCTTCACCCGTCGGCCCGTCCCCGTCGGGTGGGCGGGCTGGCTGTCAGCGACCGTCGAGTAGCGCGCGCGGATAAGACCCGCGGGTCGATACACCACCGCTCATCAGACGGACCCATGATGTCGCGTCGGCGATCGCCAGCGGTGGCCGATTGATTGGGTCGCGGACTGCGCAGTATGCGTTCTCAACTCGGGGAAGCCGCCGTGCGTTGCGTGCGGATACAAAACGGGGAGATTAGAATCAGACGATGATGACGCTGAAACGAGGGGGGGGAATCGAAAAAGCGGGAATCTCTGCTGCAGTTCGCATGCAAAAGTGGACTGATGAATCAGACGCCCGAGAACAAAAGCAATTTTCGACGATCGCGCATGGCCGACAGGACGCCTGGCGTGTTTACACGATGTTATTCGCGCCCTGTAGTGTTTGCGGGTCGAGTGCACTAACGGTGTGGCCGCGATTGGCACGAACAAAGTAGTCCATAGTGTTGATGTAACACGCAATCTCTTTAGGGCCGGTGAGTTAAAACGTCATGTGCCGTGTGTCGGGGTTACGACACTCCAGTGCCACGGGTTTGCCTACCATAGAGGCCGTGGTGCCTTACGGTTGGACGGAGTAGGCAAACCCGCATGCCGTTGTGTCCGTGCTCCTGACACACGGTATATTTGAGCGAGCGAAAAACAGGTCTCACAATCAGCATTTTTCTCATTGGGCCGTGCAACACGTCGATATCAAAAGCCGTCCATTGTTTGTGGCCATCCAAAACGGAAGCAGGAAAATAAAAATAAAAACCTCACTGATTCTGCTGTTTTCAGAATGGCTGTGATTGGCCGAGCTGATGAAGTGCCTCTACGACATTTTAGGTTGAAACTGTCAGATCACGGAAAAAAAAAGATTCGCTGAGCCAGCTAATATATTGACTGGTATCTGGACAGACAAGCACATAAACTTCTGTAACCACTATATTGTCTACTCTAATCAATCATTGGCTGTGCCAGTCAAAGATAAGTTGTATGAAGTAATGATTTGCCTGCATCAGTAAGGTAGACCTCGACTGATTTAAATCAGTCGAGGTCTACCTTACTGATGCAGGCAAATCATTACTTCATACAACTTATCTTTGACTGGCACAGCCAATGATTGATTAGAGTAGACAATATAGTGGTTACAGAAGTTTATGTGTTCGTCTGTCCAGATACCAGTCAATATATTAGCTGGCTCAGCGAATCTTTTTTTTCCGTGATCAGTGTTTCAATCTTCCCTCCATAGTATTTAAGATGTTAGAATTGGCGAAAACTACCATGATACATAATTTCTGATACTGGCGCGACGGAAACCGCTAAATCAGAGAGTTTGTTCTTTTCCACTTCCGCTTTAGATAGCGCGGGGCCGCATTCAGACGGTTGCACTTTTCGTGCGGGCAGCGCGGTGGAGCCCGCACAACCGCACGTGACGGGGCACGAAAGTGTCAAGTCGGACTGGCAATGAGTTGTTCTGCTTGGCGTGCTCCGACACATCTCATCGTCTCGATTTAGGCGGCATGCACTATATATTCAGCGCACTAATGGGGGACGCCAAAGACGGTGGTTAAAGACGTCGCGTGCTGCTGGCTTGCACCCGGCCGCCGCCGGCACGCCCGGCACGTCCGCCGCGCCATGCTCTTGTCCGCACCTAACCACGCAGCGAGGAAGCGCCGCCGCATTGCTCGCATACGACTATTAACTGCCATCGCCGTCGCTGCTGCTGCACGCAAAGTGACTGTCCGTCACAGTCCGAGGGACCGGAAGGTCAGGGGTTCGATCCCTGCGCAGCCTCCCCCTAGTGTTCGCCTGCCCTCCCGTGCCGTGCCGCAGTACAGGTGCACCGCGCGCCGCCACGCCGCCGAGCCTAGCCGTCCGCCTTTACCCCCACCCCGTTCTCCTCTCCCGCGCCGCTCCCGGCCCCGCGCGCCCCGCGCCGGTGATGTAACGCCATGTAACGCAGTGTGTAACGCCGGCCGGACCGGAACAGTCGGGACGGGGACGCGGCCTCCTCGCAGACTCGATCCTGGCCACCGAGGCCGAGAGGCCGCCGCCAAAGGGGTCGTCGCCCAGGATACCGCCGCCGAGGACGGCGAAGCCGAGGGCGCCGTCGCAGACGAAGCCTTCAGCCATGAAAGCTGAAAACCGCCGCCGCTGAGGAGTCTACCGCCGAGGAGGCCGCTGCCAAGGCGGGTGTTGCCGAGGAGGCCACTCTGGCGCGCCCGCGCCTGTCCACGGGTCCAGCCCCTCCCCGGACCCGGCCGAAGTCCTCCCCCCGTGCCGAGGCCCCCGGTGAGCCCGTGGCACTGCAACGACCTGCACGGCGAGGTCTCCGCCCTGCTATCGCGGCGCCGGCCCGGAGGCGGATCTCTAAAGACATCATTCCGGAGGAATCCGTCTCGACCCGTCGCGCCCCGGGCCGCGGGGTCACCAGCTGTCCGATCTGGCCCGCCCATCCATTTCCGATCAGTCTGCACCCCATAAAGCATGTTCTTGGCGCAAGAAATGACATTTTTGAACTGCACCTGGCACTGTTGTTGACAACTGCAAGGGTATTTCTAAAAACAAGCTCCAGCAGGGCTTCAGCAGAGCTCCAGCAGAGCTCCAGCAGAGCTCTAGAAGAGCTCTAGAAGAGTTCCAGCAGAGCTGCAGCAGAGTTCCAGCAGAGCTGCAGCAGAGCTGCAGCAGAGCTGCAGCAGAGCTGCAGCAGATAGATCCAGAAGAGTTCCAGCAGATCTCCCAGATCTCCTGACGAGCCCCAGCAGCAGATCTCCTATAAAGCTCCAGCAGCGGAGCTCGAGCACGCGGCTCCAGCAGAGCTCCAGCCCAGACGGAGCCCTGAGACGGGTCCATCGTGGGCGGGGGGAGCGCACGCCTGCTGCGTATATCCGCGGTACCGGCCGACCCCCCGGCGGCGGCGGGTCGAGCGGGGGCAGCAGCAGCGCAGGCCGGGGCATTCCCCGCATTGCGCAGGGGGCAAGTCGGGTTGGCTCTGATGTCTATACGAAGAGAGAGACCCCGCGGCTGCGCCCTCGGGAGGCGGTAGAAAAAAATAATAATCGAAAACCGGACGTGTCAAGCTGCAATAATCGAATACACATACACCATCTCTCGCGGAGGGAGCCCCGAGGCGCGTCATTGTCATTACCGTGTTTGACTCATCCCTCTTCTTTCTTTGTGCGGATAAGGAGGCCCGGCGCACTGTCAGCGGCTTCATCAATTAGCTTCAGCCTCGCCATTCATCACAGCTTCGGCTAATCCCCGCACGGGCCGCGGCACGGGCCGCCTCTCCATCCACCCAAGGAGCCAGCCGTCGTCGTGGAGGCTCGTCTCATCCGGGCCGGGCAGCAAGGCGGGTTGCGGTGCCCTTTAGCGCAACTGCGCACATATAGGAATTTTAAATACACACGACTTTCTCGAGGAAAAAAAATAAAACTTTTCCAGATAAAAGTAGGGAAGAACCAAATCGGTAAAAAAAAATCGAAAAAGTGAAACTTAAGG